AGCCAGGAATCACCTCTGTGATCAGTTCTGCTTCGCCCATTCCGGGACTTGCTATATACTAGTCCTCCAGTCACATTACGTCTCCTGGGGCTGAGTCATGCTTTGCCTCAGTTCACGGATTTGTTTCATTAAATTTCTCTATTTGGTCGTTTGGGAGAAATAGCAACTCATATTTCTAAGCTGTCCATTTCTACCCATAAACAAACCCTTAGTTTGTAACTTTAAAAATTTAGAGGCCTTATTTTGGAGTTAAAGTACCTATAATTCCTGACGTTGGTCGTGTCTGATAGAGGATATGTCGTCAATATCGTGCTGCTCACTGACCAGTAAGACATCCACCTGTGTTAGTCCCTATTGGAAAGTAGTTCTTGGAGGTCTTCCTTGCCTAAATTAATTGAGCATCCTAGGCGTTCTTTCTATATACAATTTTCCTTATTTTCGCAGTGAAGAAGGGCATGTATAGCTACCCAGCTTATGATTGTCTCAAGATTTCTGTCTTTGCAAGATAATACATTGAACTAGCTCTCTGCAGTCCGTGGCAAGTGTCCCTTTTTGCCACATTTGTAGCATACGATCCACTTCTGTCGAGGACCTTGCAAGGAGGGGGAGATATGGCCGACAGCCTAGACATTTAAAGCTCTTTAGACCTGGTGCTTGTACTAACACCACGCAAGTAAGCACAGCAATCTCAAAATCTTCAGCTTTTGAAGCAGAATTTTCTGCCTGGCATCAGCAGTGCAGTCGTTGTCTGCCTCCCTACACCTTGTAGAGTCTCCGGTCGCCGAGCGGAATCCCCTTATGCGTGTGTTGACAGCATCTCTCACCTCATCTTGGGTAAAGTTCATCTATGTTCCTTAATTCCGATTAAGGTTTTTGGGTTAAACGTGTTATGTATTACCCTGTTCCTACTGCACGTGTGATTAGGCTTCCATTTAGTGAGATGGGATCACAATCTTTCTCCAGAACTATCAGGAGTTTCATTTTTACGTGTCCTCCTGATCTCTGATATTAGTTTATGTTTGCCTTCGATCAACCGCTTCCTTCATCTCTTTTTAATACTTTAGGCATCATGATTGCCCTTCGTTGGCTGTCAATTTGAAGCCTGATTTGTGGCGTCTTCTGATCCCTGCCTTGGGAGTTTTATGCCTTCTTTGGTGAACTCTTCCTTTTTCTTCACCGCTTCCTGTGTTCGGACTTTCTGCTAGTTTCTCATCGCATTTTGTTTGGTTTTTCGTAACGAGCTGTATGCTTCTTCCTGGTTGTCTTTCTTGCCAAATCTTCTCTGTAGTGGACTTGGACTTGTCTTCTTATTTCTTCTGGACTGTCCGTTTCACTTACTTCCCGTTCATATGTTGCCATGTTTGGGATTCTCGATCTTTTGTCATTCTCTAGAAGGATTATTTTGTCATTACATTCCCTTCTGGTCGTTCTTTAATGTGTTGTACCTATTTTTTAGGCATCACCTCTTTCTATGCTGTACTGAGGTGTCCTTCACTTACTGGGTTGATTTTTCAGTATTTATTGCTATGAAATGACTCTGTAGACAGGGCAATAATTCCCGAATTGTCTTCCCATTTCAACTTGTGAGGTCATCATTCCAAGTTTATCTGATGTCCAAGCCCCTCGCATTACTATCCCCTGCCAACGGCGGCTCTTCTTGAACCAAGAATTGCCTTCGTCTCTGTGGGTTACACCAGTGCCTGGGGTACTTGAGGTGATCTCTGCAGTTTTTCGACTTCCCAGAAAATCGGGTTGAAACTCTGCTTGCTCTGGCTTTCACTTATCACAGTGTATATCAGATACGCAAAAGCAGGTCCACGTCTCTGAATTGCAGTCGCTGGTGTCGACTGCGGGGGCCTGCTTACACACCCCCAGCTGCCGGTACTGGACTCCGATTCCCTGCACCTAACGGTGATTTGATCCTGAGGGACCTTCCATCGTGGGTTTCTTTTCGGGGTCACCTTCCCCTAGCGTTTTAACGCTGTCGCCAGCGTCTGGATTTGGACCACGAGTGGTAATTCATTTCCCACCTACACTCCGACGTGGCCGGTAAGAGCATTACCCGATCCGCCACCTGGGGACGCGTCCGTTAGGAGACCAGACTACTCCCACGGATTATTATTATACTAAGGAGGAAAATCCTTTATGGATACCAGTGAAGCTAGTACTCCCAACTAGGTTACCCACTAATAAATCTAAAAATCTCTTAAATCGTATTCTCTCCCACGTGGAAACCGTCGTTAGACACTACTTCACGCAGGAGATTGACTGGTAGCAGTTGATCTACTTCCTCTGCCTTAATTCTTTCTTCTTCATAATACTAACTATGAAGTTCTCTATAGTTTTCCATTTCTGTGAGCTCAGCATCATGTCGACCATGTCTGGTTTTATAACTTGTTGGAGGTTGACATTACAAACCTCCGCTCCGCATCATCTATGTCTGCATGACAGAGACTACATGTGGGCCTCTCTACAATCCTGAAATCGTAGAGGTATTCATTAAATCCCCCATGTCTGTAGCTGTCATCTAGCCATCTTTTAACCCTAAACAGCGCTTCGTTCACTCTCAATTCGAGTTCAATGTCAACGCTGTGGCTTATTATTAGCGTATCGTCAGCCTAGCCTATGAGCTGCGTATCTTTCGGCAGGTCAATGCTTAAAATGTCATCATACAGAACATTCCACAAACGTGGCTCAAGTCTGGACCCTTGAACACCGCACTTCACATTCTCTTCTATCCTGATACTGTCCACATAAGTTATCATCCTTCGATGGAGGTAGTCTTCAATAAGCCTCATGAGATATTCCAGAATCATCTTGTTAACCAACACTTCTATCATGTCCTTCCGCCTAGCGGAGTTGAAAGCGTTTCTAATGTCAAATGCCACGAGCGCGAAGAATCCCTTCTTGCCGACTCATATTCTGGCTGCGTCTGCTTTATCGATTACTTCCAGGATGGCATCCGTCGTCGAGCGGCCTCCCCGGAATTCATATTGCCTGTGAGAAAAGCATATGAGTCCCTCAAGCCTTGAGAGTATTAAATCCTCAAGCAGCTTGCCCATGATGTCAACGAAGCACAGTGGTCTGTGTGATGTCTGACCTACCGGCTTGATGCCCTTTCGGAGGAGTATCAGCTTTTGTCTCTTCCACTTCTTGAAGAATTTCTCATCAAGGCAGCGGTTATAGATTGGCAAAAGGCATTTCGGATACCCCTGTGCCACTATTTTTAGTATTTTTCAGGGAATTCCATCGAAACCTGGGGCATTCCCAGTTTTCATCCTTTTCGCCGACTATTGAGTTCGTCTATCGTGAAGCAATCTGCTGCGTCAACCGTGAAGTCGCTCTGTCTTTGTCTCGTCCAGGGATCTCTAGTGGGAATAGAGGTCCCTGATAAGCTTCATCCCATGTGGGATCATTCAATCCAGGTATCTTCCAGACCATCCTGATATTTTTCTATTTACTATTTATAACCATTGCCGATTGGGATCGTATCTATTGTTCTAAGAGCTTTCCCAACTTGCCCGTTACTTCTTTTAATTTCTTCTTAAGCGCGTTTTTGGACAGTGTCTTTTACCTGTTTTCCTAGGTGCATGATCTGTCTTGGCCCTTGTCGCAATACATGCCTCTTCTGACATATACGTCTAGGGCATGGATGCGTCGCAAGCTGCATTCTCAACGTTTTTTCGCCTCTTTCGTCCAACCCATGTTAACCAGCAACCTGGATTCTTCCAAGGAGCGTTCTGTCTTGTGTTCATTGAATTTTTTGGGATTCCAAGGTGATCTTCCTTTATTTCGCGTTTTGACGTGTTGCGGCCCATCCGTTAATGGAGTCGAATATCCTATGTAACGATGGTCGCTCAGGGTCTCTTCGTCGAGCACTGACCAATCAGTGATGCCTCTAGCTAGCTTGGTGGGGCTTATTGTCAAATCCAAATTTATTATTATTATTATTATTATTATTATTATTATTATTATTATTATTATTATTATTCAAATTTGAGAAGTAGATTGAAAATGAAAACATGATTACATGTTCTGAAGCATAAACTCCATTAATTTCCAGTAAACTGATATGGTCATTTAGCATGATTAGACAGAGCAATCAGATTTGTTATTGTGTGAATGTATTTTTATCAAATCATTAAAATATGCTATTTAATTTATGCCATTTTTTAGTATTAGTACATCCTCTTTTCAAGGAGTTTAAGTATTGACTTGCAGAGCTGCCATTTGAGAAATATTTTGTACATGACCCTTAATAAGTGAAAGGTTGGAAACAAAACAAAAACAAAGGAATTCATTATTCTTGTATTAAAAGTATTAGCAGTTATCTTTGTGAAACTTTTTTATTTCTGTATTTGTTAAAGTTGTGAAATATATGAAAATATATTTCAAATGATTAAATCATTTTTTTAGTACAAAACATTATAGTAAAATCTAAAATAAATATAACAAAACAATAAAAATAACAAAATAAATTAAAACAATTAATCAATTGTCACACAAAACACACATGAAATTACAACAAAAATTACTGCGAAAACATAAAAAAGTGACTGGCACATTTGTTGAGATTTCATATTTTGCCTTCACAGCAAAACAAAGTACCTTGACAAATGCACTTTTAAATGAATTAAAAAATAGTTAAATTAAAAAGTGAATTAAAATAAATAAAAGAACTTTTTATGAAGTTGAAATGGCATCTTTGGTGGCTTATCACAAACAATAATAGTGTTTGAGAATTTAAGTACTTGTGATTGTAGATGAATTTCTAAGAAAATACTATCTTTCTAGCATTTCTACTAATACTTTTTGGAAACTAGAATTGAAGATCTGAAAGTAATCACCAAATGAAATGTTTTAATTCCAATTTGTTTTGTTTGTTATCAAGAAACTTAGAGAAAGAGAGAGATTTAAGAAAAACTGCCATAAAACAGTTAATTAATAGAGAATTTGTCAAGAGAGCACCAATATACTACACTGTTATACAATACGGTGCAGATTATAGACTGATTTAAAATGTTCTTTCTACCACATCATCCAATTAGAGCGTATTCCATCCTTCCCCATACACCCATTATCTAATGTTGAATGCACTTCAGACCATTACAATTAGAAAAATAATAGCTTCCACTCCTCTAATAATGGATCTGATTCATGAAGTATGTAGGCCCTAAATATGTCAGTTAAGCTCATTTTATAGAGTTTGATCACTGCATTCTGAAAGAATCTCAGATACTCTTTCATTCAAAGATTTCATTTCACTACTGATCAGGCTCTCTGGCTTCTTACAGAAGTGAAATATCTCAAAACGTTTCATCTGTGACCTGAAAATTGAAAGAAAGCTTTATAAAAATTATTTATGAAAAATACTGAATTTCTCTTGTAAAATTTTAATGATTTTCAGGGAATGGAGCAATAAAAAATAAATTTGGTTCCTGTCACTCACTTATAAATATCAGCAGGTTCTGCAAAATGGCTAATCAAATGTTTCTACAAATCTCTTGGGTATTCTTTGGATTTTATTGAAAAAAGACCAAACATCAAACATTGTAGTGTGTGTGATAGGGTAAATATAGATGGGTCAGAATTAATACTCACATGTCATATGGGAAAACGGGTACAGTCAACCAATTGTTTTCTGATTTTGCAACATTCAAGTTTCCTTTGTCATACAAATACACAGATTTTCCTAAATCTGGCATTTCCAATTTAAGACTTGTAACATATAAATCTAAAGTTGGATTTTTCATTCTTTTCATTTCTGTGCATTTAATAATTTTCGAAAGTTTTTCTTCTCCATCTTGGTTTGTCTAATAAAGACACTGTATTAGTTCAGCAAATGTACTACCGTTACAATCGTCATAAGTGATTTTAATTGTATATGTTAATAAATGCTCAATAAATTATTAC